CTGACCTTCTTTGACTATATAATGTACTTGGAACTATACTATTGCCACTGACCTTTTGGGCTAAATGATGTACATGGAACTATACTACTGCCACTGACCTTCTTTGACTATATGATGTACATGGTACTATACTATTGCCACTTACCTTCTTTGGCTATATGATGTACATGGTACTATACTATTGCCACTTACCTTCTTTGGCTATATGATGTACTTGGTACTATACTACTGCCACTGACCTTCTTTGACTATGATGTACTTGGAACTATACTACTGCCACTGACCTTCTTTGACTATATGATGTACTAGGTACTATACTATTGCCACTGACCTTCTTTGACTATATGATGTACTTGGTACTTTACTATTGCCACTGACCTTCTTTGACTGTATGATGTACTTCGTACTTTACTATTGCCACTGACCTTCTTTGACTATATGATGTACTAGGTACTATACTTTTGCCACTGACCTTTGACTATATGATGTACTAGGTACTATACTATTGCCACTGACCTTCTTTGACTATATGATGTACTTGGTACTTTACTATTTCCACTGACCTTCTTTGGCTATATGATGTACTTGGAACTAAACTATTGCCACTGACCTTCTTTGGCTATATGATGTACTTGGAACTATACTATTGCCACTGACCTTCTTTGGCTATATGATGTACTTGGAACTATACTATTGCCACTGACCTTCTTTGGCTATATGATATACTTGGTACTATACTATTGCCACTGACCTTCTTTGGCTATATGATGTACTTGGTACTTTACTATTGCCACTGACCTTCTTTGACTGTATGATGTACTTGGTACTTTACTATTGCCACTGACCTTCTTTGACTATATGATGTACTAGGTACTATACTTTTGCCACTGACCTTTGACTATATGATGTACTAGGTACTATACTATTGCCACTGACCTTCTTTGACTATATGATGTACTTGGTACTTTACTATTTCCACTGACCTTCTTTGGCTATATGATGTACTTGGAACTATACTACTGCCACTGACCTTCTTTGACTATATGATGTACTAGGTACTATACTATTGCCACTGACCTTCTTTGACTATATGATGTACTTGGTACTTTACTATTGCCACTGACCTTCTTTGACTGTATGATGTACTTGGTACTTTACTATTGCCACTGACCTTCTTTGACTATATGATGTACTAGGTACTATACTTTTGCCACTGACCTTTGACTATATGATGTACTAGGTACTATACTATTGCCACTGACCTTCTTTGACTATATGATGTACTTGGTACTTTACTATTTCCACTGACCTTCTTTGGCTATATGATGTACTTGGAACTAAACTATTGCCACTGACCTTCTTTGGCTATATGATGTACTTGGAACTATACTATTGCCACTGACCTTCTTCGGCTATATGATGTACTTGGAACTATACTATTGCCACTGACCTTCTTTGGCTATATGATATACTTGGTACTATACTATTGCCACTGACCTTCTTTGGCTATATGATGTACTTGGAACTATACTATTGCCACTGACCTTCTTTTACTATATGATGTATACTTGGTACTATACTATTGCCACTGACCTTCTTTGACTATATGATCTACTTGGTACAGTGATCCCTTGCTACAATGGGTCCATATGATTGATGAACGTTATAGATGATCAGCGGTTTAACAGAGGTGGAGTCGTAGGTGGTAGATGACCAACAAATCATAATACATGTGTATTAATATGCGCTTTAATAAAAAACACATTGTATCCCTTCAGCGAGTTCAGGTGAATAAACAGGTATAACAAACTTGCTTCATAAAAATATGAAATTTGATGTAAAACATCACTAGACATGATGATTTACCATTTGAATTGTATTTCCTGCTCTCCAAGGCATTGTTTTATATGCAGAAATTAAGATTACTGTATGTATTTTCTCGTAAACTAAGTCGGAAATAGCAATCAGCTGTGCACACGTTTCCTCCCAATCTACCGGTGATTCAGTTATAAAGTACCCAATGATACAACTTCAAAGAATTTTTGATGCAGTGGTCGGAATCAATTGTGAAATTAATGTTTTATTAGGAGTAATATATTCCAATATCGTGTTATTTTAGTTGCAGCTTTCACTATATATATTTAAAATTATAATAACCATAAGCCTAGCACTTTGGTTCAGGTGGTATGCAGGATATTTTTACGTATGGAACAATTTGATCAGTCATCGTAGAGACTTCCCGCACTACATGTATTTCGATTGCGAAAACGTTATGTTGACATTTAACAGTCAAACTGCGTCAAATATGACTTTTAACGAGTCAAGGTATGGCATTTATGATATGTGTATCCATTCTCTTGCAACTAAAGTTTGTTTCAAGGCGTCAATATCGGTAATCTGACCGTGGTTGTTGTAAATAACGGTGAGTTGTGCGATCTACTGTTCACTTCACATATGATTTTGCCGAAATTATTGTAAATATTATTATAATTATTGAATGAAATTTTGAATAAAATTAATAATATATATTTCAAACATCAGTCCAGATAAACAATGAACACCTTTTTATAACCAGATATTATAATAATAGGATTAAATTGCATACTTCAGTTCGGATTTGTTGACTTATATTTCCGGTGTTATGTGCTAGCGGGGATCAGCTGATAATGTTTTTTTAGGTGGGGAAAACATCATGTCATTAAAAAACTTGAATTCATTAAAAATGTAAGTAAATTTTGGGAGCACCTTCTTTGACTAAAGAGTGCACTTGGTACTATACCATTGCCACTATATGGTGTATAGCAGATACAGATGCTTGTTGGAAGGGTGATGTAAGATCATGACAGATGCTTGTTGGAATACTGATGTAAGATCATGACAGATGCTTGTTGGAATACTGATGTAAGATAATGACAGATGCTTGTTGGAATACTGATGTAAGATCATGACAGATGCTTGTTGGAATACTGATGTAAGATCATGACAGATGCTTGTTGGAAGGGTGATGTAAGATCATGACAGATGCTTGTTGGAATACTGATGTAAGATCATGACAGATGCTTGTTGGAATACTGATGTAAGATCATGACAGATGCTTGTTGGGATGGTTATGTAAGATCATGACAGATGCTTGTTGGAATGGTGATGTAAGATCATGACAGATGCTTGTTGGAATACTGATGTAAGATCATGACAGATGCTTGTTGGAATACTGATGTAAGATCATGACAGATGCTTGTTGGAAGGGTGATGTAAGATCATGACAGATGCTTGTTGGAATACTGATGTAAGATCATGACAGTTGCTTGATGGAAGGGTGATGTAAGATCATGACAGATGCTTGTTGGGATGGTGATGTAAGATCATGACAGATGCTTGTTGGAATGGTGATGTAAGATGATGACAGATGCTTGTTGGAATGGTGATGTAAGATGATGACAGATGCTTGTTGGAATGGTGATGTAAGATCATGAAAGATGCTTGTTGGAAGGGTGATGTAAGATCATGACAGATGCTTGTTGGAATGGTGGTGTAAGATCATGACAGATGCTTGTTGGGATGGTGATGTAAGATCATGACAGATGCTTGTTGGGATGGTGATGTAAGATCATGACAGATGCTTGTTGGAAGGGTGATGTAAGATCATGACAGATGCTTGTTGGGATGGCGATGTAAGATCATGACAGATGCTTGTTGGAAAGGTGATGTAAGATCATGACAGATGCTTGTTGGAAGGGTGATGTAAGATCATGACAGATGCTTTTGGAATACTGATGTAAGATCATGACAGTTGCTTGATGGAAGGGTGATGTAAGATCATGACAGATGCTTGTTGGGATGGTGATGTAAGATCATGACAGATGCTTGTTGGAATGGTGATGTAAGATGATGACAGATGCTTGTTGGAATGGTGATGTAAGATGATGACAGATGCTTGTTGGAAGGGTGATGTAAGATCATGACAGATGCTTGTTGGAATGGTGATGCAAGATCATGACAGATGCTTGTTGGAATGGTGATGTAAGATCATGACAGATGCTTGTTGGAATACTGATGTAAGATAATGACAGATGCTTGTTGGAATACTGATGTAAGATAATGACAGATGCTTGTTGGAATACTGATGTAAGATCATGACAGATGCTTGTTGGAATACTGATGTAAGATCATGACAGATGCTTGTTGGAAGGGTGATGTAAGATCATGACAGATGCTTGTTGGAATGGTGATGTAAGATCATGACAGATGCTTGTTGGAATACTGATGTAAGATCATGACAGATGCTTGTTGGAATGGTGATGTAAGATCATGACAGATGCTTGTTGGAATACTGATGTAAGATCATGACAGGTGCTTGTTTGAATACTGATGTAAGATCATGACAGATGCTTGTTGGAATACTGATGTAAGATCATGACAGATGCTTGTTGGGATGGTGATGTAAGATCATGACAGATGTTTGTTGGAATGGTGATGTAAGATCATGACAGATGCTTGTTGGAAGGGTGATGTAAGATCATGACAGATGCTTGTTGGAATACTGATGTAAGATCATGACAGATGCTTGTTGGAATGGTGATGTAAGATCATGACAGATGCTTGTTGGAATACTGATGTAAGATTATGACAGATGCTTGTTGGAAGGGTGATGTAAGATCATGACAGATGCTTGTTGGAATACTGATGTAAGATCATGACAGATGCTTGTTTAAATACTGATGTAAGATCATGACAGATGCTTGTTTGAATACTGATGTAAGATCATGACAGATGCTTGTTGGAATGGTGATGTAAGATCATGACAGATGCTTGTTGGGATGGTTATGTAAGATCATGACAGATGCTTGTTGGAATGGTGATGTAAGATCATGACAGATGCTTGTTGGAAAGGTGATGTAAGATCATGACAGATGATTTTTGTAACAGTGATGTAAGACATCATGTAAGATCAGGAAAAATACTTGTTGGAATGGTGATGTATGTTGACTTTCACTTTCCAGAGTGTACATGGATACTCCTTCAGAAATTGTGGTTGGCAAGGTAGCAGATGGCTCTCACAGTATCATCATGCAGACTATGAACTTCCCTGACACAGGTAGGTCATACAGTACTTCACAGACATCGGACTTCCCTGACACAGGTAGGTCATACAGTACTTCACAGACATCGGACTTCCCTGACTCAGTGAGGTCATACAGTACTTCACAGACATCGGACTTCCCTGACTCAGTGAGGTCATACAGTACTTCACAGACATTGGACTTCCCTGACACAGGTAGGTCATACAGTTCTTCACAGACATTGGACTTCCCTGTCACAGGTAGGTCATACAGTACTTCACAGACATCGGACTTCCCTGACACAGGTAGGTCATACAGTACTTCACAGACATCGGACTTCCCTGACACAGGTAGGTCATACAGTACTTCACAGACATCGGACTTCCCTGACTCAGTGAGGTCATACAGTACTTCACAGACATCGGACTTCCCTGCCACAGGTAGGTCATACAGTACTTCACAGACATCGGACTTCCCTGACACAGGTAGGTCATACAGTACTTCACAGACATCGGACTTCCCTGACTCAGTGAGGTTATATCCAGTAAACTACTGTTATAACAAACTCAAAGGGAGCTCTAATTCTAGTTCGTTACAACTGTAGTTCATTTTAAGCATGTATACTACATATACACCGCAATTTGACGGGACTAAAAAACAGTTCACTATATCCGTTTGTTATAAACGTGTTCGTTATGAACATTGTGTACTGTACTACCTCACAGACATTTGACTTCAATGACATAGATGGGGTACACTACCCCACAGACATTTGACTTCCATGACGCAGGTGGGGTAGACTACCTCAGACATTTAACTTCCATGACACAGGTTGGGTACACTACCTCACAGACATTTGACTTACATGACACAGGTGGGGTACACTACCCCACAGACATTTGACTTCCATGACACAGGTAGGGTACACTACCTCACAGACATTTGACTTCCATGACACAGGTGGGGTACACTACCTCACAGACATTTGAATTCCATGACACAAGGGGGGTACACTACCCCACAGACATTTGACTTCCATGACACAGGTGGGGTACACTACCCCACAGACATTTGACTTCCATGACGCAGGTGGGGTACACTACCCCACAGACATTTGACTTCCTTGACACAGGTGGGGTACACTACCTCACAGACATTTGACTTCCATGACGCAGGTGGGGTACACTACCCCACAGACATTTGATGTCCATGACACAGGTGGGGTACACTACCTCACAGACATTTGACTTACATGACGCAGGTAGGGTACACTACCCCACAGACATTTGACTTACATGACACAGGTAGGGTACACTACCTCACAGACATTTGACTTCCATGACGCAGGTGGGGTACACTACCCCACAGACATTTGACTTCCATGAAACAGATGGGGTACACTACCTCACAGACATTTGACTTCCATGACGCAGGTGGGGTACACTACCCCACAGACATTTGACTTCCATGAAACAGATGGGGTACACTATCTCAGTGACATCTGACTTCCATGACACAGATGGGGAACAGTACCTCATGGACATCTGACTTCCTTGACACAGGTAGGTTATACACTACCTCACAAACATTTGACTTGCATGATACAGATGGGGTACACTACCTCATGGACATCTGACTTCCTTGACACAGGTGGTATACACTGTACACTACAGGTAGGACTGCCATGCTGACATCTGACCTCTCTGATATAGGTAGGCCATGGTGACAAGGTAAATGTAATGATACCCCATCACATCATACTGATTCTGGTTGTTGTTTTATGAAATGTTTCTATATCATCAAACTCTAGTTGATCTACAAGTTTAGTCATTTGATAAAGAAAACATCACCTTTTTTATGCATAGTGGTGTGGAATCCCTGGGCTGACAAAGCAAAGGCGATGTCTGACTTCGGAGATGATGAGTACAGCAACATGGTGTGTGTGGAGGCAGGATATGTGGCACATAGGGTGCAGCTGAACACCGGCCAACAGTTTGTGTGCAGTCAGAAGTTAACCTTTGTGCCAGCAACCCAATAGCCATTGCTCTGGCATATAACCTAATGTATGAGGAGAGATCTGTTATGTAGGTGCACTTATAATCAGGGACTGAGGTCTGAGATAGCTAACTGCTTGGCACCAATGTAATTTGATCAGCAATTTAATAAAGTGAAATACATAAAAAAAACATTTACTAATAAATGACACAAACTTGGGTCCTAATTTTGGTGACGGAAACATGTGCTTGTTTGCTTTGCAAGGCCAAGTCTGTATATGGACGTTGGTGTTATATGTGGATTGCTTTGGTAGTGACAATCAATAAGGAAACAGATGAGATACATGGCTTGCCTGTTCACAGTGTTGACCAAGTTCATTTTGGAAGGTAAGGGAAAACTGTTGGGTGTTTTCTAGCCAACACACATCAATACAGTTTACTGCAAGGGATATGAAGCAAGTATACATTCCAGATCATTTAGGGTACATTTATGGGATATTGTTTGAACCTTTTTGCATTCTTTTGAATGTTTCTACTTTTGTTAATAAGTAGTATGCTATGTTTTCAAAGTATAAATAGAAATATTAAATGTTTATGTGTTATTGACCTCTTCTGTGAATGACCTTGGAAGAAATATAAGAAACATGTAATGTTTATATTTGCTTTTTTCATCTTTTCTTCTGTTGTGTTGTTATACATTCTTCTGCAAACACTAAATTCGTCCATATATAGTTCAACCAGATTAATGTGTACACTAAATCCTTCTGCAAACACTATATTCTTCCATATATAGTTCAACCAGATTAATGTGTACACTAAATCCTTCTGCAAATACTATATTCTTCCATATATAGTTTAACCAGATAAATGTGTACACTAAATCCTTCTGCAAACACTATATTCTTCCATATATAGTTCAACCAGATTAATGTGTACACTAAATCCTTCTGCAAACACTAGTGGCGAAGGGTTAGCTTAGTGGTTAAGGCATTTGCTCGTCACGTGGAAGGCCTTGGTTCGATTCCCCGCATGGGCACAATGTATGAAGCCCATTTCAGGTGTCCACCACCGGGATATTGCTGGAATACTGCTAAAAGCAGCGTAAAACCATACTTACTCAATCAATCTGCAAACACTTTATTCTTCCATATTTGGTTCAACCAGATTAATGTGTACACTAAATCCTTCTGCAAACACTAAATTCGTCCATATATAGTTCAACCAGATTAATGTGTACACTAAATCCTTCTGCAAACACTATATTCTTCCATATATAGTTCAACCAGAGTAATGTGTACACCAAATCCTTCTGCAAACACTATATTCTTCCATATATAGTTCAACCAGATTAATGTGTACACTAAATCCTTCTGCAAACAGTATATTCGTCCATATATAGTTAAACCAGATTAATGTGTACGCAAAATCCTTCTGCAAACAGTAAATTCGTCCATATATAGTTTAACCAGATAAATGTGTACACTAAATCCTTCTGCAAAAACTATATTCTTCCATATATAGTTCAACCAGATTAATGTGTACACTAAATCCTTCTGCAAACACTAGTGGCGGAGGGTTAGCTTAGTGGTTAAGGCATTTGCTCGTCACGTGGAAGGCCTGGGTTCGATTCCCCGCATGGGCACAATGTATGAAGCCCATTTCAGGTGTCCACCACCGTGATATTGCTGGAATACTGCTAAAAGCAGCGTAAAACCATACTTACTCAATCAATCTGCAAACACTTTATTCTTCCATATTTAGTTCAACCAGATTAATGTGTACACTAAATCCTTCTGCAAACACTAAATTCGTCCATATATAGTTCAACCAGATTAATGTGTACACTAAATCCTTCTGCAAACACTATATTCTTCCATATATAGTTCAACCAGATTAATGTGTACACTAAATCCTTCTGCAAACACTATATTCTTCCATATATAGTTCAACCAGATTAATGTGTACACTAAATCCTTCTGCAAACACTATATTCTTCCATATATAGTTCAACCAGATTAATGTGTACACTAAATCCTTCTGCAAACACTATATTCTTCCATATATAGTTCAACCAGATTAATGTGTACACTAAATCCTTCTGCAAACACTATATTCTTCCATATATAGTTTAACCAGATTAATGTGTACACTAAATCAATCTGCAAACACTATATTCTTCCATATATAGTTCAACCAGATTAATGTGTACACTAAATCCTTCTGCAAACACTAGGGGCGGAGGGGTAGCTTAGTGGTTAAGGCATTTGCTCGTCACGTGGAAGGCCTGGGTTCGATTCCCCGCATGGGCACAATGTATGAAGCCCATTTCAGGTGTCCACCACCGTGATATTGCTGGAATACTGCTAAGAGCAGCGTAAAACCATACTTACTCAATCAATCTGCAAACACTATATATAGTTCAACCAGATTAATGTGTACACTAAATCCTTCTGCAAACAGTACATTCGTCCATATATAGTTAAACCAGATTAATGTGTACACAAAATCCTTCTGCAAACACTAAATTCGTCCATATATAGTTCAACCAGATTAATGTGTACACTAAATCCTTCTGCAAACACTAAATTCGTCCGTTTATAGTTAAACCAGATTAATTGCCTCCAGTACTACTGACCCATCACAAATGATAGCATCAATAATCCGGATACCTCAATCTGATGTACAAACTAAGCAGGCTGTGATAGACGATGGGATCGGTATCTGGCCGTCGTCTTCTCTATCAAATAACCTTGATGCCATAGAGCTGACCTTCCAGTGCTGGTCTGTTCCCCTCAAAAGTTGCACTGTTGACTTTAATAGTTCTTGGAAATGGTGTATTGATTCACCCACCAGCTCTAGATAGATTATATCTCCAGAGGAGGATGAGTCACTGCTGACTGTAGAAAGTCATCCTCTGAACTCGTGATCGTAAACGATTCGTCACCACAGCTACATACAGCAAACTCTTCAGTAAAGGCTAAAAGCGTTGATCCAATCATCCACCTCATGAAAGCTTTACAGGAAGCTCCACTGGTTTTTAAGAGAATTCATGAAGTGTATTAACCTGAAACAGTAACATGTCTATTATGTATCGAGATTAGATATTTTTTTCAGTTTCAGCTACAAAACCAGCCTTATTAAAAACACCTTGCAACAATGTAATTTGTGGCAGGCAATTACTTTTTTCTGAGGTCTGAAGCAGAAGAATTGTCGGGAACAATTTATTTTTTCGATAAAAGTCCACGCTCCCTCCCCTTCCCCGAATATCAAATAGTTGGTGCCCTCACTCGAGTGTGTCTACAACATTTTTTTATAAAGCTGTACACCTGTATGTCAGTGTATATCTTATAAAACATAACCCCCGTACATGTGATGATCACTTTTTATCACACAAGGTTTGGCACAGTATTGTTTGAAATAATTATTTCATTTACTGACTACAGAAATAGGGGAGGGACAGGTGCAGTGCTGGTACGTCGACTGACCGTGAAGACCCTGGTTGGAACCCATGCTTGTCGGAAAAGGCGAGGCGACCACGCTACTGTTTGTTTGTTTGTTGTTAACGCCACACTCAACAATATTCCAGCTATATGACCGTCTTTAAATAATCAAGGCTGGACCAGACAATCCAGTGATTAAAGTCATGAGCATCGATGCACACATTTAGGATACGATGACATGCATCAACCAAGTCAGCGAGCCTGACCACCCTATCCCGTAAGTCGCTTCTTACGACAAGCTTTAGAGGGGGTCTCGACCTACGAGGTCAAAAGGTTATTGATTCTATTTCTCTTAGTGACAACTTCTCATCAGTTCAAGGGAATTAGTGGGATCTGGTCTTGTAATATAAATACAAGAGAGCAAATGAAAAGATGGAACAGATAATCAGTCTTGGAGTGGCCAAATATTGTATGAACTACTGCTTGATTGGAATCAGATTAAGGATCTCTTGGTAAATACCATTTTGACATAGTATCCGGCTTTCATCCCAGGTTCATGAACTATGTTCGATTGACTGATGACTTTAGATAGTTAACTGAGATTTTAGACAAGAAGAGTTTGATAGCACAAATTGAATCTGCCACCTGGGGGCTGGAAATTAAACATTATTTCGGTGTGTGTGTGTGTAGTGGGGGGGGGGGAGCTAAAATTATCATCGATAGTATTTTTGTTAGTCCAGGAGTGGTGCGGGGATTGGGAAACTCACGGCTGAACAGAGAGGTTCTTTCGGGGATTGCCTAATAGTCGGGCCAAGAAAAGTCGGGCCGGGCCGGGCCAGCGGGTAATACTAAAAATGGATTGCAGAATAATAAAACGAAACGTGCATATCTAGGCAGATCTCAAATGTCCAGAAACGGATAGTTTTGCTCATTTAATTGAGTTTGAATCAAAATGTATCTTCAGCAATGTAATAAACTGATAATTATAGCTACATACCGAGAGTTCATACCGAAAAGTCAGTGTCTTGACTGTGTCTTTACTTTGATGAGAAGGTGTCTCAGCGACCTTAGCGTGCAGGGGTGTGATGTCCTGGACAGGAATTCGAAATGACAGTGTTTTGACTACTCTTCTTTCATTAATTAACGTGTTTGGCATACCTAATTAACCTTTACTAATTCATGTTAAACCAACACAGGATGTTTTCTGCAAGTGGATATTCGCGAATGTCATAGGACTGACACGACACGTGTTAATAACTGTCAAAGCGCTTCTAAAATTACAACACATACTTTACATCTATAGACTACTTATAATATCATATCTACCTATATAACACTTTAGTGTCTCATATTGCAGTAAAAGTAGACACTGCTTTAACATCAGAAGTCACTAAAAGAGAAAACCCAACCCTACTACGATCAGTAGCTATCACTAAAATTCAAACTACCTGGGACAGCTGGGCCCATATATACACTGATGGATCCAAGAATCCTATCAACAACAGTGCTGGTTAAGGGATCCATATCCACAGCTCCAAACCCCAAGCACATTCAGTTCGCTTGCCCGATGGTCAGTCAGTATTCACGGCTGAATTGGAGGCAATTCATCATGCACTCAAACTCATACCGGAACTCCCGGAAGCAAAGGCAGTCGTCCTATCAGACTCGCTAAGTGCACTTCAGGCCATCAGTGGAAGAAAATCAAGCCAGAGCAGCCAGGACGAAAGTAAGACAACTCATAGACGATTCTAAAAAAGAGTCATGGCAGACCTTCTGCAAATCCCTTAATGAGAAAACAAATGCTAAAACAGTCTGGAGCAAAATACACGCAATCAGGGGTAAGCGTAAACCCACAAAAATTCCCAAGTTAGCCAACGCCCATACAGTCAAAGAAAAGGCCAACATTCTAGCTGAGCACTTCTCATCTGTCAGCAGCAAAACAAATTGCAGCGATGAATTCAAACAGGCAAAAATGCTTATGCCTAAGATCTCAAAACGGCCGCAAAGCAAGCATCTGGTATACAATATACCATTTACTGTGACAGAGTTTGATGATGCGATACAACATAGAAAAGGCACAGCACCTCGTCTTGACACAACCAGCTACGAGATATTGAAAAACCTACCTGATCAAACCAAAGGCTTACTCACTGAGTTGTATAACACGATATGGTCCAAAGGAGAAGTCCCAAAAGCATGGAAACATGCTGCGGT